CGTGAAGGAGGCAGGGTGGTTATTATTTTATATCTCAGGAAGCAGATCCAGAGAGGCAGAATTTCAATGGAATCCCGAGGTTGCTGTTTACTTGCTTCCTTGAGCCTCAGTTTCCCCATCTTTAAGGCTGAAGAACTAGATCTGTAAGGGCTCTTTGGTTCGGAGTGTGTCATTCCATTCATGATCCTGGAATAGGGCATGAAAGCCAGTGGCAGACACCCGAGACCTTAAGAAGTGTGTCCCATAGGGATGGCAAGGTGGTAAAGTTTATGCGAACAATAGTGTGAGGGATGCCTCTCCTTCCGGCAGCCCTCCTCCAGGAGGCGCATGGGTGGTGGTAGCAAGTGGGAGTCTTAGGTGCCCTGTCTCGATTCTACAAGGTGGGAGCGGGAGAGAACCCAGCGACTGCACGACTGAATGACAGGGAGTGGCCCCACTGCCTCCAACATGGCAGCTTCTATCCAGCGAAGCCGAGTCCCCGCTTCCGGGTTCCGTACTGCCGGCCAGGCTACTTCCGGCAGCGCGATGGCTGGGTTCCCGGGACTCGAACGGAAGTTCCGGCGGGGGCGGCGGAGGGGGAAGAGTGTGTGTCTGCGGGAGAAAGAGGAGAATTGCCCAAGCGGCCTCGGAAGCCCCAGGGAGTGGAGGTAGCCAGCCGGCGGCTGCGGAGGAAGGGCATGTGGGGGAGGTCGGCTTTGGGAGGGTCCCGGAGAGCGGGGAGGGGGACCGCGATAGGGGAGGATGGGGGTGGGGAGTGAGGTGCGAAGGCGCTGTCCAGTCTTGGGGACTTCGGGAGTGGAGTGGGGCTAGGCAAGGGGGTGTCTGGGTATAATGGGACAGACTTCGGGGTTGAAAGTAGAAGAACCCATTGGGGGGGCGGAGGCTTCCCCAGAGTCAAAGGTACAAAACCCCATTGTGGGCAGGTGCGAGTCCCGGGTCGGGGTAGAAAATGTTACTGGGGAGGGTGACCCTTGGTCAGAACAGAAGTTCCCATTGTGGGGAGCAGGAGATCCTGGGTCAGGGTGGAAGTTCTCAAGGTGTAGAAGGAGACAGATCAGGGGGAAGGCACCCCTCCAAGGAGGGAGCCTGTGCGGGAGGTGCAAGTCCCCACGGTGGAGAAGGAAGGGAATCGCAGCTCAGGGCGGGAGGTGCGTTCCCCAGTGGGAAGAGGAGCCCCGGGTCACAGGTGAATGATCCCATTGTGGGGAGCTGCCCTCAGGGGCCAGACATGGAAGGTGAGGGCAGTTGGGAGGGGTGGGCAGGCACTTGGAGGCAGGTAGTGGAAGCTTCCGGCGAGTTTGGAGGACGCCGGCGAGTTTGGAGGATGGGGAGGGGCCAGCCAGCCTGACATTCTTTTGTGTGTTTGGGAGTCCCAGAGCGTGGTCAAGCCGGGGCTCGTTTGCAGTCAGTGGCAGCAGCAGCAGGTAGCTCCGTTTAGGGGGGCGTGGAGCACCAGTTTGGGGTTGGGTGGAGTTCTTAACGCTATCTGGGGACATGGGCAGCCCCCTGGGGGTCTGGGAATGGATGGGCCAGAAACTGCTGTAAAGGCTGGATGGGGGTTGGGTCGGGGGAGGTTGAGATGGGGGTTGGAGGCGGCACTGAGTAGGGGATGGAAGCTCCTTTCCCTGGCATTTTTCTATTTCCCATAGGGCCGGGAGCTGGGGAGGCAGGGACCCAGGGATGATTGGAGAGGAGGGGAAGGCACTGACCCCTGAGGAGTTAGAGAGGGAATGAAGCAGGCGTGCCGCTGCCTCCCCTCTGCCCCCTGCCCTACAGTCCCTGTGCCCTGCCTCTGCCTGTCTCCAGCAAGCTCAGATCCTGTGGTTGGGCCAGAACCAGAGACACATGTTCTGGGCCACTAGGGTGGCTGCCTCTGCCTTTCAACCGTGGAACTGAGGCAGAATTCCTTCCCCTGTGCCCTGGGACTTCTTGCCTATTTGTGCCCAAGACAGAACCTGGGTGCTGTGTGGGGCTGATGGCCTGGTGGCCTCTTGGGCCAGGAGTGTGTCCTGTGCCTGGTTTTGCTCTTGACCGCCACCCCTGATGTGCGCAGGCCCCCGCCGTGGAGCCGTGTGGTGTATGTGTGGTAACACCATGTCTGTGCCCCTGCTCACCGATGCTGCCACCGTGTCTGGAGCTGAGCGGGAAACGGCCGCGGTAAGGGTCCCCTTTCACGCACAGCCAGACACTGTGGGAGCAGCTGGAGGACCAGCTGGAGGGGGTGTGGGAAAAATGGAGGTGGCAGTGATGAGCAGGGAGTATCCTGAGGCCAGGAGGCTCAGGGTAGTAACCTGTTTGCTACCTGGGTTCCTCCAGATCCTTGGGGGGTGGGGGAGGGGTGGGCAGAAGTTGGAGAACCTAGAAGGAACCTTCCTGTCTCCCCATTTCCATCCTTTTCCAGGTTATTTTTTTACATGGACTTGGAGACACAGGGTAAGTGACTGAGGAGGGGTGCTTCTTAAGGAGGGGGCCTGGGCCCAGCAGCGGACTGGAGAGGCCTGCACGTCCCCTTCTCTTCCTACCACATCGGAGCCTTTTCTCCTGTCCCCCCTACAGGCACAGCTGGGCTGACGCCCTCTCCACCATCCGACTCCCTCACGTCAAGTACATCTGTCCCCATGCGTGAGTGTCACCCCAGCAAGGGAGGGGCTGAGGCTGGGGATCATCTGGGGGTGGTCCTGGCATCCCAGGCCTGTTCTCTCCTGTCAGCTGCATCTTGGGCCTTGGGCTCAGGGCAGTCAGAAGTGGCATTTTCAGCCTTAGCTCCTGTGGAGCCCCCAGGAGTGGGGTCCAGCACCAACCCCCACCTCTAGGGCCTCCTAGACCTGAGCTCTCCTAGAACCCACACCTCCCTTTGCCCCTTCCCCAAGTACTCACTGACTACCTGGGACCCCGTCACACCAAGCGCTGGGCTCTGCTTCTCCATCGCTGGCGCTTTGCTCCAACCACAGCCTCCAGCCCCACGTGGCAGGTTGCCTGGCAACACCTTAAACACAGGCCCTGCCTGCTGGGAGGGCCCCCAGGGGCAGCGCGGCCCCACTCTGGGCTGTGGGCTGTGGCCTCATCGTTCCTCCTGAGCATGCTGGGCCCTCTGGCTGTCTCCCCAGGCCTAGGATCCCTGTGACCCTCAACATGAAGATGGTGATGCCTTCCTGGTGAGTGGGAGCAGGGCTAGGCAGGGGGATGAGGACACTTGGGCTGAGGGAGCTACAGGAGGCTGGCCAGCCAGGGTTTTCTATAGCTGCCTGTGCCTCTACTCCCCAGGTTTGACCTGATGGGACTGAGTCCAGATGCCCCAGAGGATGAGGCTGGCATCAAGAAGGCAGCAGAGAACAGTAAGACCCCAGCCCCTCCTCTGCCTCCTCCTTCCCCTGCCCCCCAGGAAAGCTCTGGGCGGTTCCTCAGCCTGGCTCCATTCTTGGGCCCCTTGGCAGCTTCCCCCCACCTACTCATGCCCCCTCCCCCCAGTCAAGGCCTTGATTGAGCATGAAATGAAGAATGGGATTCCTGCCAATCGAATCGTCCTGGGAGGCTTTTCACAGGTGAGGGGAGAGGGGTGGGGGTGTGGGGGGTAGGGGTGGCAGGTGAGTGAGCTGTGCCGTCACGATTCCTCTCTTCTCCCTCCAGGGCGGGGCCCTCTCCCTCTACACGGCCCTCACTTGCCCCCACCCTCTGGCTGGCATCGTGGCGTTGAGCTGTTGGCTGCCTCTGCACCGGGCCTTCCCCCAGGTGAATGTCCCCACTGACCCCCCCACCCTTTGGGTCTGCATCCTCGTGGCTTGGGGACTGCTGCAGCACTAGCTTTGCCCTGAGTCCTTTCCGGCCCCCAGGCAGCTAATGGCAGTGCCAAGGACCTGGCCATCCTCCAGTGCCATGGGGAGCTGGACCCCATGGTGCCTGTACGGTTTGGGGCCCTGACGGCTGAGAAGCTCCGGTCTGTTGTCACACCTGCCAGGGTCCAGTTCAAGACATACCCAGGTGTCATGCACAGCTCCTGTCCTCAGGTCAGTGGGGGACCATTTCCCACTCCCACTTCTCTGCCTCCAGCCAGGAACCTCTCGTGATCCCCTCTTAATCCCCTCAGGAGATGGCAGCTGTTAAGGAATTTCTTGAGAAGCTGCTGCCTCCTGTCTAACTAGTCGCTGGCCCCAGTGCGGTGCCCCAGCTCATGGGGGACTCAGCAAGCAAGCCTGGCACCATCTTGGATCTGAGCCGGTCGAGCCCCTGTCCCCACCCTTCCTGACCTGTCCTTCTCCCACAGGCCTCTGGGGCAGGTGGCAAGGCCTGGCCTGGCCTTCCTTCCTGGCCTCAGCCACCTGGCTCTGTCTGCAGCAGGGGCAGGCTGCTTTCTTATCCCATTTCCCTGGAGGCGGGCCCCCCTGGCAGCAGTATTGGAGGGGCTACAGGCAGCTGGAGAAAGGGGCCCAGCCGCTGACCCACTCACTCAGGACCTCACTCACTAGCCCCGCTTTGGGCCCCCTCCTGTGACCTCAGGGTTTGGCCCATGGGGCCCTCCCAGGCCCCTGCCCCACCTGATTCTGCCCAGATAATCGTGTGTCTCCTGCCTCCACTCAGCTGCTTCTCAGTCATGAATGTGGCCATGGCCCCGGGGTCCCCTTGCTGCTGTGGGCTCCCTGTCCCTGGGCAGGAGTGCTGGTGAGGAGGTGGAGCCTTTTGAGGGGGGCCTTCCCTCAGCTGTTTCCCCACACTGGGGGGCTGGGCCCTGCCTCCCGGTTACCCTCCTTCCCTGCAGGCCTGGAGCCTGTAGGGCTGGACTGAGGTTCAGGTCTCCCCCCAGCTGTCTCACCCCCACTTTGTCCCCACTCTAGAGCAGGGAGGCAGTGGGGGAGGAGTTGTGTCTCGTCTTCTGTCTCCATGTGGTTTTTGGGTGTTTTTCTTGTGTCCTGGATTCCGATAAAATTAAAGAAATTGCTTCCTCAGTGCTCAGGCCTGGCTGACTCTATTCCAGGGGTGGATAGTGACCATCTGTGAGAACCTGCCCCAGTGTAAGAAAACTTGTTTTTATTTTTAAATACTTTGGAAAGCTCTTTCAGAGCAGTATAAATGAGTGCCTGGGAGGAGGAGGTTTTGTTCCAGAGCCTTGCCCCCTCACTCGCTCTTGGTGGTCCTGATGAACTCTTGGACCGTGTGGAAGACAAGAGTTAGAGACCTCGGCCTCCTGGTCAGTGGAGCCCTTGGCCTCATGCCTGGTGAGATGAGCGGGCCCAGCTGGGGTTTGAGGTAGGGGAGGCCGTGGCTTGGCCCCAGCAGCTCTAGGGCCCTGGGTTCCTGCCAGAGGCTAGAGAGCAGGCAGCTGCTGCTTTTCCTGGTCCTTGGTAGGGGAGGGTCCTCAGGCCTGCGCGCCAAAGCCTGAAGGATTCTGCTTCTGCCAGCGCCACAGATCCTCACCTGCAACACGGCGAGGTGTGTGCTCAGGGCCCACGGTGGAATGCAGAGCCTCCCCCCACTCCACAGCCTGCCCTGGGTGGTCATGCCCAGATCTGATCAGCCCCTCCCTGGCCCCTAACTGCAGGGGTCCAGCCAGCACTCACACATCTTGTCCAGTCCTAAGGCTGCTGTCCACCCCAGCTCCTCATGGGCCAGGCTGGGGTTGGCGTAACAGGCTGCCACATCACCTTCCCGCCGTGCCACCACCTTGTACGGGATCTGCAAGACAGGAGGTAGTTGGAGCTTAGCTGAGCCGGCCCTGGCCCAGCTGCCGGCCAGGTCTTTAAGACGCGGAAGTGCAGAGCAGCGGCTCGCCCGCAGGCACCTGGTGCTGGGTGCTAGGCAGGCTGAGGAGACTGGGCAGTGCCAGGTGCCCACAGGAGAGGTGAGCGGGAAGGGCCAAAGCTGTTGTGCTGCTGAGAGCTGGGTGGGGCAGGGGGCCTACCTTCTTCCCAGAGGCCTTCTCCATAGCTTGGACCATCTGCAGCACTGAATAGCCTGTGCCCGTGCCCAGGTTGTAGATCTGCCCCGCAGAGAACAGGGTTTATGGAAGGAGCTGGACTGACCACCCCTCTGGGCCTCTCTGCCTGGATCTGGTCCCTCCCCTCCCTCATTTTTCCCTTTTCTTCCTACCCGGCAGCCACACTGCTCTTTCAGCTTCCTCAAGGCTGCAATGTGGCCCTTGGCCAGATCCACGACATGGATGTAATCCCGGACGCCTGCAGAGAAGGGAGTGTGTTGGATGGGGAGTCTGTTCCCCCTGACTCTCCCTCCTGGCTCCCACTCCTAGGTCCCCCTGGTCCTAGGCTCACCTGTGCCATCCTCTGTGTCATAGTCATTGCCAAAGACATTCAGGGCCTCCCGTCGCCCGATCGCCACCTGGAGGTTGAGATCAGGTCAGTTCCTCTCAGATCCCAGGCACCAACTATAACCCCAGGGTCACTCCTGTCCCTTCCCTTCTGCCTTACCTGGGAGATGTAAGGCATGAGGTTGTTGGGTACGCCCTGAGGATCCTCACCAATGCAGCCAGAGGCATGGGCACCTGTGGGGTTGAAATAGCGCAGCAGCACTGCGTTCCAGGTCTGTGGGATGTGGGTCAGGCGGTGAGGCCAGAGGCACAAGCAGTGTGTCCCAACTGAACCCAGAGCCCTCCCTATGCCTATTCTGTGGCCCAGGCTGGAGTGTAGTGGCCTGATGTGGCCCACTGCAACCTCTGCCTTCCAGATTCAAGCAATTCTTATGCCTCAGCCTCCCGAATAGCTGGGACCACAGGCACACACCACCATGCCGGGCTAATGTTTGTATTTTTAGTAGAGATGGGGTTTTACCATGTTGTCCAGGCTAATCTCAAACTTCTGACCTCAGGTGATCTGCCCACCTGGGCCTCCCAAAATGCTGAGATTACAGGCATGAGCCACCGCGCCTGGCCAGTTGCCTATTCTTTATCTTTAGAAACAAGCAGGGGATGGGGCCCTCCACTGTGACTGCCTGAGCCTTAGCTTCCTCCTTAGCAGGGGTGTTCAGAATCCCACCCTCAGGTTCAGGGTAGGCCATCAATCAGTGGAGCCAGGGCGCTATCAAGGGGGCCCTCACCTTGTCTGCCTGGCACAGGTCCCGGATCATTTCCTCGATGAAGAACTTGGACTTGCCGTAAGGGTTGGTACAGCCACCTGTGGGGTGGGCCTCGTCCAGGGGCAGGTACTGGGGGTTCCCGTACACAGTGGCTGAGCTGCTGAACACCAGGTTCTTCACCCCATGGGCCTTCATGATCTGGCCATGGAGAGGTGGCGTCAGTGGCCTCCACCTCACACATTACTCCCACCCTGTTACTCCTCCACAGGAGAATGGGGCTGAGGTGGGGAAACAAACTGGGAGGTAAAGACCTGAGTCCAGGATGATAGAGCTTGGGCTCTGTGTTTGGCACTGCCTGCCAGGCTGGGGCCCAGCTGGGCACCCTCCTAATATCTGTGCCCTGTCCCATGCCTCTCACCTCCAGAAGCTGGATGGTCCCAGTCAGGTTAACTCTGTAATAATCCAGAGGCTTCTGCACCGACTCGCCCACAGCCTTGAGCCCCGCAAAGTGGATGACCGCCACAAAGCTGTGCTGCAGGGGCGACATGGCCAGAGATTGCTCTACTGGCCTTAGGCCTTGGCAATGCCCCTGGCCTGCCTGCCTGCGCCTACCTTTTTTTTCTTTTTTTTGACAGTCTTGCTCTGTTGCCCAGGCTGGAGTGCAGTAGTGCCATCTCAGCGCACTGCAACCTCCATCTCCTGGGCTCAAGCCATCCTCCCACGCCAGCCTCCGGAGTAGCTGGGACCACAGGTATGGGCTACCACACCCAGCTAATTTTTGTATTTTTCTGTAGAGATGGGATTTCACCGTGTTGAGCAAGCTGATCTTGAACACCTGGGCTCAAGTGATCTCCTCACCTCGGCCTTCCAAAGTGCTGGAATTACAGGCGTGAGCCACCATGCCCAGCCTGCACCCACCTTTTTGAAGAGACGCTGTAGGGCTCCCTGGTCCAAAATGTCCATCTCCTCAAACTCCACAGAGCGGCCTGCCAGCTCCTGGACCCGCCGCAGGCTCTCAGGCAGGGAGCCCCCTCCTGGTAGGGTACATGTAGGCCACATCATCATGACATGGGGTGCTGTGTTCCCAGGGACTAGCCAGACACACATTCCCCACCCGGTGGTGGAGGTGGAATCCAGAGTTTTGCTTCTGCCATCCCAAGTAGTCCCAGCCCCACTGCCCTGCTCACCACGGAAGGCGTTATGGAAGTTGTCGATGACCACGGGCAAGTAGCCGGCCTCCAGCAGCTCCAGCACCGTGTGGCTGCCAATGTAGCCAGCACCACCTGTTACCAGCACCTTCTCTGCCATGGCACCTGGCCCAGGATACAGAGTCTCAGAGGTGGCTTGGGCTGCCCGCTCAGAGCTTCCTTCCCACTGGAATCCTGTCCCCTACACTCACTTTGGAAGGGGACAGCAGTGTGCCCTAGGTACCAGGCTGGCTCAGAAGTCAGCCCTGGGGCAAGTCTGGATACTATCACTTTCTGGCCTTAGGCTTTGGAAATTAGCCTATTGGCCTCAGTTTCTACCTCCGTAAAACGGAGCTAATAACTGTATAAACATCATGAGGCAGTGTGAGGGTTCAGTGAGGTGATCTTAAGGGCCCACCACAGCAGAGCTGGGGAGACTGACACAGGCACCTTATTTTCTAGTTCCACTTGTCTTGAAGTTGGAAAGATGGAATCTGAGGATCCACACTTCTTTCTCCAAGGTGACTGAGGAGTGGAGAGTCCTGGGCAGAAGGAAAATAGCAGCAGGATTGGGACTCCAGGGTCCCTGGAAGGGGTTCTGTCTGCTCAGACCCAGGCCTGTCCAATGCCTCCACCTTCGCTAGGTGTAAATTGGCACCTGGGCTCAGTGACTAATACCTCCTGCTCTAGGCGGCCCCCACCCCCTTTCCCTCAAGGGTCAGCTAGGAGGAAGCAGGAAATAGATCACATGGCCTCAAGGATGAGGTCTTTGCCAGGCAGGCTGAGGCCAGCTCAAGGGCAACCACACCGTGGTTGGTCCTGGAGTGGGCCCCACCCAACCCTCGCTCAGTCTCTGCCCATGCCAGGGCCAGCCCGGTCACTCCTGGCTCGGAGTTAGGAATCCCGCCCAACTTAGGCCTCTCTGGGTAGGCCGTGTAGACGTGGACTTGGCCAGGTGCGCACCTCCACCCTGAACAAACTTCAGGCAGAACGGGTGGGACGGGGAGGAAGCCCCAGACACTGAGGCCTTTCATTCCCAGCGACCGGGCCAGCTGCCGCCTTCCTCCACACTGCCTCTATCCCCTTCTGGGCTCACGCAGCTCCAACCCACTTGACCAAGAGCCCTCTGCGTGCCAGGCTCTGTACCAGGCACTTTTGCATGATTTTCCTGAATTCCCCCAGCATCTCGGTGAGGCAGGTGTTATCACTGGCATTTTACAGATACAAACACTAGGGTCAGAGAGGTGAAACAGTTTCCCTTCGGTCCCACAGCTGGCGACAGCGGGCTGGAATCTGGATCGCCAGGCTTGCAGCCTGGCCCCCTCCCCAGGCGGCTCGCCCTTCCCCCACCGCTCCCCGCTGGACTCTGCCCGCGGCGCGGAAGCCGCCCCCGCCCCCGCCCTGCGCCCGGCGCGGACCCCGAAAGTGGTGGCAGAGAGGCACTGGGAGGCAGGAAAGCTGGTCTGAGCCCGGCGGCGCCCCCGACCCGCGCAGTGACCTTGCTCTGCCGTCGCCCCGTCGGTTTTCCCAGTCAGTCTGCTGGAGGAAAGGGGAGCCGGGCCATGGGCACTCTAGGGCGGCTGGGTCTCAGGCTGGGCTTTGGGCCGTGGCGCGGAGCGGCGCCAAGCTAGGAGTCCCCAGGCCGGGAATGAATGAACCCCGGCCGCCCCACCCCAGGCAGCGGGGAACTGGGACAGAGGGGGCAGGCTTGCCCCGTAAGGACTCTGCCAGGAACGCGACCCGCCCCTCGGAAACTCCCTCGCTCCCCGCGGACTCCCCAGCCCCTCGCGAGCCCACCCGGCCCTTCATTCCGCCTCCCGAACCTGCTCGGGTTCCCGCGCCCCGCACTGGCTCCAGAGGCACCGCCTCCTGCGCCCGAGCGGCTGGCCCTTTAAGTGCTGACGGCCCACCCCGACCTCGCTCCTCCACGCCCCCAAGGAAACGTGTCACTCGGGTTACGGCCACTACGGGGACGCCGGGAGGACAAAAGACCTCTGCGCTGTTACTGCAACTGCGAGCCGCACGCCCACGGAAGGCGGAAGTGGGCGGTGCCACACCGCGAGGGGCGCAGCCAGTGCCAGGTCCCGGGAGCGGTTGGGTCCCTGCCGGTGCCCCGGGTCCCCAGGCCAGCTTGTTCCAACCCCTGGAAGAGGGCCGCGCTTCCGAGGGGGCAGGGGGCAGAGGGTAGGGGGCCCACGCCTGCGCCCCACTCTGACCCGTAGGTTTTCAAACTTGCCGGTGTCTACCAGACCCTGAATTCAAAATCTTGAACTACCCGATCCCACGGGACTAAGGCAGGAGAGGGTCACAGGGGGCCGTGGTGCCGGAAGTCCAGTCTGCAAATAAACCAAGGAGCTGGAGGAAGCTGTCGGGCCACACTAGCGGTTCCAGCGCCCTTGGCTCTCAGCCCTCACCGCGGCCCACACCTGCCGGGAATGCTCTGCACTCTGCCTGCCACGACGGCAGGTTAGAAAATGATTTTGTTTGTTTACAATGAAAAGTAGTAGAGCTAAAGAATAATATGCACAAAATGTGACATCCTGCGTGATGAAACCAGAGCAAAGGAGCCCTAAATGCAGGAGCGCACAGGTGTCCCCGCAGCCGAGAATCAGCGCCTGACCGCAGAGCCGGGGAACCGACAGGTGAGCGCTCCCGGGCCTGAGAACGCCAGGGAGAGGCCGGGCCACCGAGGTCCAAAGCAGCAAGTGTGCCCTCGGGGAAGCTTGTGCAATAGCCCCAGTCACAGAGGCAAAGCTCAGAAACAACCCTGTCGGGTGTTCTGGCCAGCAACTGCTGCAAGCAGCCTCCTGAGTAAGCCCAAAGCCACTGATTTCCAGTCACTATGGATTTGGGGCTCAGGTGGGGAAACAGGGAGGAAATGCAAAGATTAATAAACTAGTTCATAGTCTCCATTTTCCTCTCAGAGTGCAACATGGTAAAGTATTTTCCTCCCCCACGCTCATGTATACACACAGCTGCACAACCGAATGCCGGAATGATTCTGTGCCATTCAACCTTTAATTACATAAGCTGTTTTCAAAAATCACATTCAGCGTGGAGATTTTCCAGAGATGCTGGAGTTGGCAGATGGCCAGCACGAAGCTCTCCACTTTCCACAAATGGTCTCTGCCAGCTTGGGAAGAAGCCCCATGACCTGTGTCCTGAGAAGTCAGAGAGCAAGGGCCCCAAGGCCATGGCAGGGTGGAGCTGTGTAGAGGGCAGCCAGGTGGCCAGCTCACAGATTCCATCCAGAGAGGAGACTCAAGGATCATGCCAAGTAGGGAATGGGGTTCCCACATGTCCTCAGGGATTCAACTCCTGGGCCAGGGTCCATAATGAAGGGAGACTTCAGCCCTCAAAGCCTCTTGCTCCTACTCAGGTCTGGGCAGGAGGTCCTGCTGCCAAGCAGCTCCTCCTGCCCCTCGCCTGCTTTCTGCCAGGAGAGACCTCTGTGTAGAGCCGGCTATGAGGTACCTGCACCATTTAATCTCATTCTCATTTCTGTGTTCCCATCCATGAATCATCTGTGTGTGCACCTATTTCCATACCATCCCCAGGGCTTCAGGTGGGCAAGGGGCTCAGAGTTTACAGGTAGCCTGAGCCACTTTGGAGCTAGTTTTTCTGTTCAGGGCTTGACAGATAAAGTTCCCAGCTTCCAGAAGCTTCTGGAGATTCACACCCTTTGGGAAACAAGTTAGAGGATATGGTAAGTCATGGGCATAGCCCTCAACACCAGGGAAAACATCAGCATGGATAGACAACTGTAGTACTGAAAAAGTAAAGGTGAAGATAAACAGGCTTTTTCCTTGACAGCGGGGCACCAGCTGCCTGTGAGTTCCTGTCTCTCTGGCACCTGGATTATTCCTCTGACTCCCCCTCATGTAAGATGCCCAATCTGTATAATGGTTTGTAGTGCCACTACCAGGGCACAGATCTCATCAGTCTTGTTCAGTACTCCCTCTTCAGGGCCCAGCACAGGGCCTGGCCCACAGAGGTAAAAAACTGATACTCAAGTGAGGATTGTGAGGCAGAGAGGGAGGGATAAAAACACTAACTGAAAGGGCCAGGCAAAAACCCTCTGTTCATACAGTAGCTCATATTTGCTGAAATGCACTCGGTGTTCAGCTCTGTGCTAAGCATTCTACATAAGGTTTCTTTTTATTTTTTTATTTTTTGGAGACAGAGTTTTGCTCATGTCGCCCAGGCTGGAGTGCAATGGCGCGCTCTCAGCTCACTGCAACCTCTGCCTCCCGGGTTCAAGTGATTCTTCTGCCTCAGCGTCCCAAGTAGCTGGGGTTACAGATGCCCGCCACTACACCCAGCTAATTTTTGTATTTTTAGTAGAGAAGGGGTTTCACCATGTTGGCCAAGCTGGTCTCCAACTCCTGACCTCAGGTGATCTGCCCACCCTGGCCTCCCAAAGTGCTGAGATTACAGGTGTAAGCCACCATGCCCAGCAATTTTTCTATTATTAGTAGAGACAGGGTTTCACCATGTTGGCCAGGCTGGTCTCGAACTCTTGACCTCAGGTGATCCACCCGCCTTGGCTTCCCAAAGTGCTGGGATTACAGGTGTGAGCCACCGCGCCTGGCCCTCTACATATATCTTCTTACTTAATCCTCACAATGGCTCCATGAAATAGATAGCATTATTATTCCCATATTTTAGGTTCAGAGAGATGAAATGATTTGTCTGAGGTCTCATAGCCTGTGAGTGGCAGGAGTAGGCTTTAAACGAAGTTCCATCTGATCCTCAAGCACAGATGCTAGTCTGCTTCTGTCCCACCACTGGGGCCCTGGTGGACTCTGGTAGATCCCTGGTGAGCTGTTTAACGCTACTGTCCGCGTTTTACAGAGAACAAAACAAAGCCAAGAGAGAACTGACTCATTTCAGGTCATGAACCTGACCCTTCCCAGGGCCCCTTCCATGTTCCCTGGTGTCTCCTAGGACTGAACTGTCAAAGTCACCGTGACACTCCAGCCTTCTTGTGCCCATGCGTGTGGCCTCACTCAACCCTACCCTCACAAACATTAAAACACAAACTCCTGGGCTCAAGTGACCTGCCTCAGCCTCGCAAAGTGCTGAGATTATAGGCACGAGCCACTGTGCCTGGCTAACCCTTTCCCTCTTTACTCCTCCGCACTTTAACAACCCCAGATACCCCCATCTGCTTTTGTTCTCAGCTTCAGGCCAAGCCCTGGTCAGTTCATGGCTGTTGCCACCAGGGGGTGGGCGGGCTTACCGTGTGAATGCCCAGGCCCTCTAGCATGTAGACCAGGTCCTCCGTGGCCAAGTTTCCTGATGCCCCCTGTGCATAGGGACAGCCTCCAAGTCCTGCCACAGAAGAGTCCACGACACTGACTCCCATCTGGAAACATAAGGATGGTGAAACACGGTTGGCACTGGGGACAAGAGCCCACAGAGCTGGGCCTTGCAAACCTCCCAAGCGTCTGTTGCCTGAAATTCTAGAGTCATTCTTTGCTTTGGCTTATGATTCTGTTGACACAAAAATCCCACAGAGACAGTGCTTCTCCCTTTAGTTTCTGTTACACTGTTTCCTCTGCCAGCAGTATCTTTCCTTTCATGGTGGACTCTCACCCTTTAGGTTCCAGTCTGAAAGCTACCTGCTCAGGGAGACCTTTTCTGATCACCAGCCTAACCCCCTCCCAATGCTGAGATTTCAGACCTCTGTTGTTTACTGTGGTTCATTTATTACTCCCCGCTTACCCCCTACCACCTCCAGGCTGGTCTCACTCAGTCAGGGCCTTGTCACATGAGGCCCACATCCCATCTTCCCAGGTCAGTCACCTCCCACTCTCCCAAATGACTATTTCACCTTCTCCTCTCTTGTTAAACCTCTGTCACCCCCTTCCCCATCCTCATTCTCATCTGCTGCTTTATGGAAATGGATGCAATCAAAAGAGATGTCTCCATTGACTCCCACCGTCACATCTACCCACCTGCCTACATCTGGGCCTACAGAACCACTGTCTCTCATGTTGCCTGAGATGGACCCTGAGCTCCTAGCCAAGGCCAACCTCTCCACCTTGGCATGAGGCCCATTCCCACCTGCTTCAGGATGTGCTCCAGTAAATCTATCTCTCCCTCTCTCCCGCAACCTGTTACTCCCCTCCACTGGGTCATCCTCAGACAGCCTGCGATCTCTCCCATCTTTTACAAACCTTTTTGGAACCCTCTAACCTCCCATTTCTTTCCCCCCATTCAAAGCAAAGTCCCTCAAAAGAGCTGTTCCCATTTAACATCTACCATTCCCACTTGAACCCATTTGAAACAGGTTTACATCCTCCACTGAAACAGCTCTAGTCAAGGCCACTGGTGGCCTCCATGTAGCTAAGTACAAAGGTCAAGTGTCTTCATCTTTGCACTTGACTAGCTGCATCATCTTGGACACCTTCTCTGTGTGGCTTCCAGGGCTCCACATCCCTTGGTTTTCCTCCTAGTGCTCTGGCCTCTCCTGATGCCTCGATCCAGTCTTTGCTGGCTCTTCCTCACCTCCCTGATCTTGGTTGGAGCCCTTACTGCTCACTCCTCAGACAGCTTCTCTATCTCCACTCCCTCCCAGTTAATTGCACCCAGGTTAACACACCTGCCTATAGATGTCTCGAGCTTCACAGATCAGAACACGAACTG